TATTGTATATGTCAAGCACCTTACCGTATATGCCAGGCACCTTACCGTATTTGCACATTACCGTATTTGCAGCTTACCGTATATGCTGCCTACTGTATGTGCAGAAAGCTCACTATATATGGCAGCTCACTGTATTTGCAGGTGAAGCTCACCGTATTTACCGTATTTGCACAAAATTTGCATAAAGTATTTTTATTCATACACTAACTAAAATAACACAATTTTTTCACTTACAAATAGAAATACCGTATATGTGAAATCTATTTTTCACACATAGAACGAATTAGAAAAAAAACAGTTTATTTAATTTATCTATTTCTAACATAAATTTAACAAACAATATATGAGTCAAGTATGTTGCAAATGTGTAAATCGTTAAATAAATAAATCTGTAAGAATAAAATGCAAACGAAATAAACAGTAGATAAATTTTCAACCCGAGACCTGTGTAAACATAGTTTCCTTAAGACAAATTCGCCCCTCACCGCAGTGCTAGAGGTTTAGTTCGAGCGCTTGTCTCCCAAAATATAACGGTAACCAGCAGAGTCTGAGCACCGCGGTTCTACTCCTGCGAATTGGGCGAGTGTTCGAACAATATCACCTTACTGGAATGGACACAGGAGGAGACGGAACAAAAACATAAAATAGAACTATGTCAGAGTAAACTGCTGGAAATTGTAGACGAAAATTTCAGTGTATGAACTGCTGGAATTGAGTGAAATTATATAGGCTGGATCTGACCATTAGTTTCTGCATTAACTATTGCAATTTTTGGAGTTACACTTCAGTTTCGACTATTGAAGTTCATGAGTTTCAGACACTCAAAAATCATTTGAAAAAACCACAAAAAAATTGCAAAACACAGACAATCCAAACTGGCCAGTTTTTGCTCCCCTCGGTTCGACATTCGTGTGCGTAGGTCACACCCGCACCCAAGTTCAAGGTCCAAAGGCTATTTCTATCTGTGATTTGCACCCCCTGAGCGCACACGTGGAGAGAGTCTCTATGCTACACATGATCACATCATTCCAATGCATAGCCATATATAAAGTGATTTTGGTTTCCATGTTTTTCTTATGTGGGACAAAGTTAACTATAATTTTCCCACCAACATAGACCATTTCCAGTGGTCCATTTTAAACTCCAATTGAGAATTCACCCGAACTTCATTTTGGCAAATAAATACATGACTTTGACGTTCTCGCGGAGTAGAACACATATCAATTTTGATATTTCAAATTGGACCAACGGTCCCACCGAAAATTGTGCTAAAAGTAAGCTGTTCACTCATTTTTTCCAACATATTCAATTGAGAATTTTGAAAATTTTAATAGATATTTTTTTAAGTGATGACTTTTGTAGATTTTGTGGATCTTTTATAGATTTGTATGGAATTAGTGGAAGTTTTTCATATATTTATATGGATTTTCATTTTAAAATTTATATAGACTTTTATAGAATTCAAAAGATTTTTTAAAACTTTCATTTGAAATAGAATTCACGTGGATTTAGTGTTAATTTCTCACGTACGAAGTGTTAGTTTCCATAATTCCCATTTTCCTTTACCTTCTTCTTCCCATATATATATATATATATATATATATATATATATATCAATTTAATTATAAATTTTTCATATAAAATTTTTATAATTTAATAAAAAATATATTTTTTTCCCCAAAAATGAATGAAAAAGGGGAAAAAAAGTTGCAAGAATCTAATATAATTTTTTCATAGAAAATAGAGATAAATAGTAAGAGATAGAGAGAAAGAAAGATAAATGAAATATAATCAATAAAAAAAAAATTTATTCATACATGTCCATGAAATGTTAAAAGAAAGAAAGATTGGGAAAAAAAAACTTTTTTTTTTGTGAAAGTTTTTCAAAATCTCGTGATTAACGAGAGCCAAATTTTAAGATATTATATGAGTACTTTCTGCTTAAAAGTTAGTATTCCAAATACTTTAATAAAAGTTTCTGGAAGTTATTAAAATTTGAATATCTTAAGACTTATAGAGAATTATAAAAAAATTTAATTGAATACACCGTAACTTTTATAGACTTTTTGAAAGTCTATAGAAATCTCAATTGAATACACTCTAATTTTTAAAGAGTCTCAAAAAGTCTTAATTAATACCCCTAAACTTTTTAAATATCAAAAAATTATTAAAAGTCTCAATTGAATGCACCCTCTTCAATTTAAGTCAAAATCAATAACTAATTTCAATCATATTTTGTGGAATTCATGATTTTTGAACCACACGTTTCATCAATTCTTATCAAACTCTATTAAAAATTTAATTTTAATCTCGAGGGCATAAATTGTGCGTGGGTTTGTGGTGGAAGGGGGCTGTGGGATGGCTGGAATTGAATTGTGGGTTTCGAGGTGGTGGTAGAACTTATGGTAGAAGAAAGTTATTCTCTTTTTTAACTGTCGTTTGGTCACTCTTTTTTAACTGTCGTTTGGTCAATTTTTAATTTATTTTTCATGTTCAGATCTCTGTTTGTATAAATTGTCTTTCCATACCATTTTAATAGAATATTTGGTTGGAAATAGGGACAGACTGCTCTAATCAATAAAATATTACGTTGAAAATAAGTTTTGTTATACTTACACCATGGTTGACAGTTTTATTTATACGCTTTGATATGACACACAATTTTATCATTAATTTTAACAATATTTATTCAAATCAATGATCTTGATAACACCTCAAAGGGTCTCGAACTAGCTTAATTCCGCTAAAAAATCTCAAGAAAAAGGGTTAGAGAGGGACAAACGTGTGAATTGCACCGGAGGTTATTGAATTTTCACTAGGAATTTGCGCGGATAACTGATATTTTTCATAGAAAATAAATGTTATCAAACACATCATAATAGGTGAATAAACTTCTTTTTTGTGCAATCAAAACATTATATTTATTTAGTGAGTGTTTGACATCCATTTTTAAGGAAAAATGAATTTTAGAATAGTAGATTAACCAAAAATGTCTAGATGAAAAATTTTTGATTTACGTGTAATATTATTTTAATGAAAAATATTTCGTTGAAAAGAAAAATTGTAATCAAACAGGGAGCAATTGATTACCCTATTTGGATTTTACCACATCTATCAAAATTAACTATGCCCCCGTATGAGCTCCATTATTTTTCAATACATTAAATTAAATTTTTTCTTTCTTACTTTTAACCACACAATTTTCAATAAAATAATATTACACATCACTTGAAAATTTTTCAACCCTTCATTTTTCAAAAAATATACTATTCATCTTATTATAATGTCAAATTGTACTAAAGGTCAATGAACTTTGACTATACTTGCAGCTATGGCTGAACTTTCTTTTGGTATAATCACACTACTATACATAAATTTTCGAGCAATCAAGTCATTCCAGTTGGTGGAGAAATTAGGAAAGATTTAGCGCCTGTTTGATACAAGCCATTCCATTTTCCATGGAAAATGGAATTTTTCACTTTTTTCCTTATTTGATTGCAAGAATTTTTTTTGAAATTGATTTTCCCTCCCCCACCACATGACTCCTTTTCATTGATTTGGTAGGTGAAATTTTGGTTTCCAGTTTTTCTTTTTTCTTTTTTTTTTGGGGGGGGGGGGGGTTAATTGGAACAAGTAACAAATTTTATCCATTTAATTGACAATTTTCATGAAAAACAAAGTGAAATGGACACTAAAAGATAGAAAATTTCAACATTTTTCAGGTGAAAAATTATACCAGTCAAACACATTTAATCGATAATTTCCAGTAAAACAAGTTCTAGACAATTCAATTCCGCAAAATTCATTTGCTTTCCACCCAAATCTCATTCTTATAATCAAACGAACCCTTAAAGGTTTCTTCATATTTTAATCGACACAATTTCTATCATCAAAACGTCAATGTGCAATTTTGGAATGCGAGTGATCTTTAGAACATCATGGACAAATAATAATCAAAGTCATAGTTTTCGTTGATGTAAATATTTCGAGGTATTTAATGTTCTTATCATATATTTTTTTTCCACATTTTGCTCTCTTCTAAATTATTATAAAGTAACTTAATATTATTTTGTATAATGTAAAGTGTTGATGGTGAATGTAAATTTTTCTCCTGCTAGTAGCTTAAAGTTTATCAACTATCCAGGGGAGTAATGTTATATATACTTCGCATCTGAATTATCAAAAAGATAGGGGTGAAAAGAAATACCTCACTTACAAAAGAAGACATAGTATTTTGTGTTTATATTCTTCGTTTATATTGGATTTTTTTACGCCGAAAATGAGTACGTAAAAAAAAGAGTTTAAATTGATACAACAATTGTGTTTGCTTGAATTTCATTATAAGTACAACATTATAATTTAAAGGTCAAAATTAAACTTTAAGTTTAATTATATAATTCGCAAGTGCCACGCCTATTACCAACTCATCTACGTTCTTTCACGTTATATTTTCATTAACTTATAATGAAATCCAAACAAAGACTAAGTCAATCATTAGTAAGCCCTCGTTTTGCCCCTATTCTCTTTCAGTTTGTTTCTCTTTTATTTTCAACTACACAATCTTTTATAAAATAATATTATAGGTAAATCAAAAAAATTTCATTTCTTTTCAACTACACATTTTTCAAAAAAAAATTACTATTTTAAATGTTAAAATTTGGGAAAAAAAATGGAGGCGAAACGGAGGCTAAATTAATTAACCATGGTATTCTCGTTTTTAAAAGTCAAATGGAGTAATATGGTTGCTCGTAAATTAAAGTGTGGGGGCTAGACTGTACTAAATTAAAGTTCAATGATCTAATTACAAGTATTATAAAAGTTTAATAACCTCTATTGCAATTTTCCTGTTCCGATACTCTAAAATTAGCAAATATTATTTTATTGTTCTCGAATGCCTAAATTTGATGGCATAAATAATTCCATGTATAGAAAGCCACAATAATTAAAAAATAAACTACGTAACACGACGTCGTAGCGCATGGAACAGCACCACCCATTGTCTCTGCCGTGACGGAACATCTTCTGAACATTCAATAAACAAAAGGGAATCAATAAACATATCCATATCCTTCGAAGAATGGCCTTGTAGTTGTCATCATCCACCACCAATAAACAAGCAAAAATCCATATTTTAGTTCGAACATATACATACTCTTACTTGAATCTATAAGCCTCTAGCTTCAAGATTACTCTAACTCAATACTCATATCTTGTTTGCACTCAACAATAACCCTTGTTTGATCTGTCCACGCCAAGTCATTAATTTTTTCTTAATCCTGTGATGGCTTCTATAACACCCATCTCACAATCCCAGTCCTTATTCAAGAAACCTCAATTCATAATATTGAATAAGCCTAAGGCTCAATTTTTGTCAGTACCCACCTTGAATTTTTCTCAGAGGAAGGCAAGGATGGTGGTGGTTTCAGCCACAGCAGCTGCTGAGAAGTCCAAGAAGAGGTACCCTGGAGCGGCTAAGGGGTTTGTGGAGGAGATGAGATTCGTGGCTATGAAATTGCACACAAGGGACCAGTCTAAGGAAGGAGAAAAGGAGCCTGAGGGTCAGCCTGTGGGCAAATGGGAGCCTAGTGTTGAAGGGTATTTGAAATTCTTGGTGGACAGTAAATTGGTTTATGATACCTTGGATAAAATTATCGAGAAAGCTGCTTTTCCTGAATGTGAGTATGTTTCATTTACTTTCGGAAACTGCTGTCTTTACTTTTTAAGGTCTGGCTTTGAATCTATTATGTATAAGTTTTGAGGTAAATTTCATTGAATTGTGTTAGTTGTAGTTACCAGATAGCTTGAAAGACTCTCTCTCTCTTTATACTCGATTCGGGGGAACAATTTTTAGTTTCAGCAAGAAACAATTGATATTTTTGTGCTATTATGAGATAATAGATCCTTTGTTAATTCAGAATTTTTGTTGTGTCTGTGGAGCGTATTATGATACGATACTGATTGTTAGCCGTTATATCACAACCAACTCATCAAGATCCCTACCATTTTCTCAAAGTTAAAGATAATATTAAGCAATTATTAACTCATCAATATCCCACAACTAGAGAATTACATCTCCATCACGATGAATCTCCCGTAAAGTTAGGGATAATGGTTTTAATTATCATAGAGTTTTTTGTCTTCCCTTATAACACCCCGGCATTTACATGTATATTTATAACTACTCTCTTAGTAAGAATTGAATGTGAGCTTGTGCACATTGTTTTCTCTTGTTTGGAACTCTTGCCTTACAAAGACTTGTAATGAAATTCTTTATTGCTTCTCATTATCTCGTATCATAACGAGCAAAAATCTTAACCTTTATGACAGATTAATCTTTAGATGAGGTGGTTAAATATGGCCTCTGCTTGCAGCAATGAGGGTGCCACTTATCTTTGTGTCAATCATGTCTTCTACTTTTTGGAGCAAAGATTTATTTGTTTTCTCACTCGTCAATACTCACCATCAACTTATTGATGCACATGTGAAACCTCTATTACATACTAGATCTTAGCTATTTTGTTCTAAGATTGCAGTGTCTAATAAGGCATCCATCTTGCTGGGGCATAGAAGATAATCTTGATTATCGGTTGGGAATATGAAATCACCTACATTTATGGGATTGCATCACCCTTACCCTAATTATCTCCACAAAATTAGAGATAATATCCATTATTCTGCAATCACGAACTCATCAATATCCCACAGCTAAAGGATTGCATCTCCATCACATTCACTCTCTTCACTTCATGGAGTTGGGACTAGTAATCTTTAATTACCATAGGGTTGTGTCTTCCCTTATTCCACCTCTTGCCTAGATAAAAATATAGCTCTCCTAGCTAGAATTGAGCGTACACTTTTGCAGTTTAGCATAATGTTATTCTAGCTTAGCTCTCTTGTCATGCAATATGCAAATACTAGTAATAAAATTGCTAAAATATTTTTCATTATTTCTTGCCATCATTTTGTATTGTATTGATGATCTTGACTTTCACTTTTCAATTCCATAAGCGCAAAAAATAAATAGAGTCTGCAATTTTGTTATTATTTTTTTTTTATTATTATTTTTTAATGCTTTGAGGATCCCCAGCTTATTTGGATTTCTTAGAAAAGCATTCATTTCATAAAGTTATGACTTGTCTATGATTTATGTCATACTTATCAGCTCCAATGAGTAGTCACTGCACTTCTCCTGAATATGAGCTTCTAATACACCCGAATAATATAAATTGCAATTGTGAGACTTATCTTTGTATGCAGCAAATATATGTCCTCTTCCTATTGTGCTTTCCTGACCCTTGTAGTACTCACCTGCATCCATATATATATACCTATTCCATGTCTCATTCAAATGTCAACCTAAGTCCAAATGTTTAACTTCATCAACTTATCAAGAAAGTGCTTATCGTTATTTAGAGAAACATGAGACCTTTTCTTTTAGATACTGCAGAATGGTCTTTCTAGTGTGACATTGTTTTGTCTTTCATTCAAGTATTCACTCTCTTGCTCAGGAGTTGCATTCTTGAATAAGTATCTTATAGTAGTAAAGAAAGTAAATGCACATTCTTCAAAGTCTTTGTTTGCTATTTGTAAGTTAGTGATCGGGGGTTTGGTGAAGTTCTCATTAGTTTTGTTGTTTTTGAATTCAGATGCAGAATTTAGGAACACGGGATTAGAGAGATCAGAAAGCCTTGCAAAAGATTTGGAATGGTTTAAGGCGCAAGGTTATGCCATTCCAGATCCATCTTCTCCTGGTGTTAGCTATGCTCAGTATCTGGAAGAACTATCCGAAAAGGATCCTCAAGCATTCATTTGCCACTTCTACAACATATACTTTGCCCATTCAGCTGGTGGAAGAATGATCGGGAAGAAGGTAAGCTTAAGAAAAAAAGGCATTTTGAACTCCTTTCCCCTCCCCAGCCATTTCATTTCGGGTTAAGAAGATGTGAAGCACGTTTATCTCTATAAGAACAGTGTGTTCAGAGGTGTGAAGTGGGAGAGAAGGGATGTCAATACATGTATATAAATGCGGGAAAGTTGATATACAAAGAGGATACTAGTTTAGTTTTGTTCAGGAATTTCAAACTGCTGTTAGAGTACATTTTATTTTGTTAACTTTGGGATTAAAACGTTAAGAGTGTATTTAGAATGAAAAGATGAAAAAGAAAACAAACCATTTAATTTGCTTGAAATGGATGCGAGGTGAAATAGAATGCCTTTTTTAATCGAAGGTATAAAGTTTCTACACGATGTTAGTTTAGAAAGCATGCCCTGCAAAATCTAACACCCGATTGAGCATGGTTTTGTTTATGTTACTGGAAGGAAGAATCCTATTTAGTGGCAATGTTATACTCAAATTATGGCCTCTTTTCCATCAGGTAGCAGAGAAGATCCTTAACAACAAGGAGTTGGAATTCTATAAATGGGATGGAGACTTGTCCCAACTGTTGCAGAATGTTCGAGAGAAGCTGAACCTGGTTGCTGAAGTAACTTCTTTAACACCCCGACTTGTCTTAACTTCTCACGCAATCTTTTTAACTCTTTTGTACGTAATTTTGTTATATGGTACTTGACCTCTTATCTAATTCTTGTATGTGGGAATTTTGGTTAGAACTGGACTAGGGAGGAGAAGAATCATTGCCTGGAAGAAACTGAGAAATCATTCAAGTTTTCTGGGGATATCCTTCGTTTGATATTGTCATGATGCACAAAGTTGCAGTTTTCCTCATTTAATCAAGTTCATTAAGTGTAACCAGTGTTAATATTCCATACATTTTCCATATCTGTTATTTCAAGGTTCATGTTTTATGTACTGTACTCTGGAAAGATACTTTGTGTTGCTATAATCTTCTGAGGTAAGATTCCAAACACGTGCAATATTCGGCTTTTAAAAAAAAATAAAAAAAGAATGTGTTCCCTCCTATGTTCCCCGTTTTGGACATAATTTTTATTCGTTAGAAGTTTCAGTAGAATTGATAAGAGCAACCTTTTCATTCTTGAAGTGAATGAACATGTTATTTATTGAGAAGAATTGGAGATCCTTTCAAAACGGTGCCCATGTGGAGTCTGAGCTTGATGCATTTTGATAGAGTTAGTACTTCAAACGAGGTGACAACCAGTTAAAATTTCAGTAAAACTGATCATAGCAACCTCTTCGGTTTTGGAGTGAGAGACCATGTCATTTACTGCGCGAGAGTCGGAGTTCATCTGAAAAATAAGCCTTTGTTTGTCAACTATTTTATTATACTATATCACATTATTTTTTCTACAGTACTCATTTTCAACCACACATTCTTCATTAAAATAATATTATATATAAATCAAAAAAATTTCCTTCTTTTTAAATCATACATTTCAACATCAATCACTATTTTATAATACTTTTTTTTTTTTCAAATTAAAAGGGTACAAACAGGCCCTAAGATTCTTTATCTCATGTTAGGTACACTTGGGTTGAATCCTAGTTTCAAGAGAACCGGGCTTGGGCCAAGCTTCTACGCCATTATTGTTGTAGGGAAAATTGCATAATTCCAGATGTTTAAAGAGTAGAATTCAAAAATCAGGGACCAACTTTCATAATTCACAAATCAGGTTTCATAACCCTAATTCATCTTCATAATTCACTTTCTTCCCCCACCGTCTCTCTCTTGCCTCACCTCCATCTCTCTCTATGGACCAACTGTTGCAGTACACAAGCGGCATCGCCACTGTGTAGCAGCACTCCCACATCACCTCCCTCTCTTTCTATGTACCAACAGTTGCAGCACATAAGTGGCATCGCCAGTGCGAGCAGCGTCGCAGCGAGGGCTCTCCCTGTACAGCGACGATGTGAGCTCCTCAGCGTAGCATTGGGGCGCTTGGGTTTTTTGGGGTTTTTGTGGCGCTTGGGGTCTTTTCTACCGACGAAGCAACAATACTGACGTCCTAGCCCGATTTTGGGTTTTTTTTAATGTGGCGGATCTGGTGGTGAACTGGTGGCGACTATTGTGGTTAACAGTTGGCGATGGTGGTGAAATGAGAGTTGGAAGCTGCTTTGGAAGTGCAGCATTTGGATTGGGGAGACGGTGATAAATCTAGTGTCGGCGACGGGCTGTATGATTGGGCGTGTTTCGTGGTGGTTCTGAATGTGGTTGTGGTCCTGGTGGGTGTAGTGGTTTTCATTGACGATTGTGTTGGCAGTGGATACTATGTTGAGGTTGTGGGTTGGATATCGTTGGTGTGTTTGGTGGTAGCGGTAGTGCACCTAACGGTAGGGGTGAGCTGGTGCGGTGGATCTAGGTAGCAGTGCGGTTTGGTGAGAATAACAGGTGGTAGTGGTGCGGTATGGTGCTGGTGGTAGAGGTGATGGCGGTGGTGCGCCGATGCGGTTGATCGACCTGCTATACTTTTACTGTTTGATCCCCGTCATTGCTGACGGTTGGGTGGCCTGCTTGGCTTAGTGCGGTGGCTAGTGTTGACTTATTTAGTTATGTTTGTTGGTCTTTGGAGTGGTGGTGGTGGTTGTAGTGATGTTGTGGCCGGGGTTAGTGTTCGTGATCAAGTATTGTGGTGGATCGGGATCGAGCGTTTGGCATCTGTGACCTCTGTGACTAACTATTAATTTGTGACCTTGATAGTTGATTATTTTGTGATTGAAAAATTAGTTTGTGACCACCAAATTTGAAAATGTGTGACTGTGACCTGTAATTTTTTTATCTGTAACTTACGAAAATTTTGATTTGTGATCTTGAAAAAATTCGTGACCAATTAATTTGATGATATGTGATCAATAAATAAATATGTAACCTGTAGTTGTGAATTTGTGACCATTATTCGTATAATTGCGACTTTATTATCATTATTTAATAAATATCTTTAATTAATTAATCAAAACCTGATTTTTGCATTAATAAAATTTGTAATCTGAATTTTGAATTATGCATACTTAAAGCTTGATTTGTGAACTCTTCCCATTGTTGTATTTATGGTTGAGCTAGCTACTATTCAAAGGCTGAAAGTTATAGGTAGGTTTATGATTGAGGAAATTGCAGAGGACGTCAAATTTTTTTAAGACATTTACAAAAATGTCACTTTTTTTTTTTTTTTTTTTTTTTTTTTTTTTTTTTTTTTTTTTTTTTTTTTTTTTTTTTTTTTTTTTTTTTTTTTTTTTTTTTTTTTTTACATTGTAAGAATGTCAATTTAAGATATATTTACCCCTAAAGATAATTTCAAATTCTCTACATGTCCTAATTAAATGAGATTTCACCCAATGGAAGAAATTGTACAAAAATCTTGTCAATGTCAATGATGAAAAGTTGGAAAAAAAAAAAAAGATGAAGTTTATTTCTCTCGTTCAAACAACCTCAACTCTCTCTCTCTCTCTCTCTCTCTCTCTCTCTCGTTTATCTCATTACGGGCTTCAATCCAAGAGCGAAAAATCTTTTTTTTTTTTTACTCAATTTTTGTAATATTTTCATTTGTAAAGGATTTATGAGATGCGAAAAAATGGAGCTCTTTGCTGGGTTTAAAATAAGAGGCGGAGCTTGGATTAGAAAGAGGTCAAAATCCTTTTAATATCCTGTAATTTTTTTGGATGCTTTGAATAATTTTTAACTGTGTTATGATTGAAAATATTTTTTTCCCTACTTTCTGCAATTTCATACCATAAATTTTAATTTTCTGCTTTGTGTACATTTTCTATTAGTGATGTATATATGCACACGTTACATGTGCCAACACTAATATTGAGGTAAAAAATTATCTAGGGTTCCAGTTTAATATTTATCATCTTGCTTTACTTTCAAAGTTCATACTTCAAGTATTTTGGATGTTTCAATGTTGAGTGAAAATTTGGATTGACTCTTGACATATCTTTCATTTCAATATTTTTGGTACTTGTGTAATGTGAAAATAACATTGCTATCACTTGGAATCCATTTGTCGTGGGCAATAATCGTATTTTGGTTGAACTCTTGCTAGACAGTTGACAGCATATCTATGGTTTTAATGTTTTGTTATGCTCGAATATGGAGTGAAATAATTTTCAATAATACCTATTTGCTTAAAGGTGAAAAGTAGATTTCTCAATAGTTCATCTATCGACAGTTCACTAATGTAGAGAAATGTCATCGCGCCTAACTGTCGTTCCCGACAGTTAGCCTCAGTAATTCTCGACAGATGAATTGTCGAGAACGATAGTTCAGTCCTTCCCTCTTCTCAGTTCCACAAGTCAAACTTTGGTTCATTCTAACATTACATGAGTGTTTTGCATAAACATATATGAAATGCTATTATTTCATGATTTTTTGATTGATTTGTTCGTATGTGGTTAGATTTTTTCTATCCGAACATCTCACATGTGACTGATTTGTCCATATGTGGTTATATTTTTGTACTTCACGTTTTTATTTATATAACAATACCACCACCGTCACGATTCATTCTTCATAATTTTTGGATCACATGCAATTCAATCTATTTTTGTGGAAGTTGCTTGTTTGAATTCAGATTACGATAGATTGCATGAATCAATTGAGTTATATTATGTACTATGATCAGATTGTTTTTGCACATAAGGTGAACGTTATTACATTTTCTGTATGTTCACATATGAGCAGACTCATACTCATGACTTAAATGATCCTCAAAGTGTTGGTGCACACATTCTTGCTATAATTGGAGGTGGAACCAATCGATTTCGTTGTCAAAGAAAGAGCAATCTTCACAATGGTCTACTTCTGAAAACTACGGCAACTACACGGAAGAACATTTTGTTTTCTATTTATGTATATAATTTTGAATTAGTTGGTTCTATTTATGTGATATTGATAGAGGAAACTGTTTGTGTTTCGTACAGAAAATGTTTATCGTAAGGAATAGTAGATAGTAAAGAGTAGTTGATTGCTTTTTTAAATAGGGTCGTGGAGCTACTCCACAATACAAAACAATGGTCACATCATGTTCGATACTTGAACAAGGCTGTGTACATAAAAATGATTTTTGGTGCATTTTATAACTTTCTTGCTTTCGAAACTCGTTTGATTTATCGATTAAAGCTGGTATCCAATTAAAAATAAGTATGATTGAAATGAATATTATGATTTGTTTCAATCGAACACGTTCGTGAATCATGGTAATATCACTGGACATCATTTTCTTGAAAAAAATAATGAGCACTTCTTTGTTTGCATTAAAATATTGTGCATACCATGTTTCAATCAAGATGAAATGGTACACATAATTTAATGTACACAATTTTCATAAATGATAGACCAACTGTGGGTGATACAAGCACACTTAGACTTTAAAAGCATCACACTAATTGTCTTTCAAATTCAATTTGAGATGTGATAAAAATAAGTCTTCATCATCGCGTATTTCAATCGGAAGTATATTCAAGTTAAAGACATTGAACTTCAATTCAATTTAAGTGCGGGGATCAAGAATATCAAGTTTGTCCTTCAACAATAACAAAAGTTAGGTTACGATATTATTTGTCAAAACCAGAATGTAAGTGGTTTTATCCCCTCTTCACTTCTATTCGTCATCCACATGAACAAACTTTTCCCCATGCGACACGATGAAACTCAAATGATTATTTATACCTCAAATGTTGGGATTGCAACGATAAGAATTCTACAAAATCAATGTGTTGACATTTAATAGCATGAAAGTAGCATTGCATAATACGTAAATCCATACAATAGTAAAAAGTCAAATCAAGGCTTTCCATCGTTTTTAAGTGTTCAATTTGATAGTAAAACTATATATCCCGACAGTTTGTAAATGTCGGGTTCGACATTTCAAACGTTTAACCCGACAGTTTGTATATGTCAAATTCGATAGTTGAACCGTCGAAAATGTCGAGAAGTAGATAACAGTGGGCAAAACA